TAAATTATAAAATTAATATTTAAATATTTAACAAAGAAATATGAAAATTAAATAATATAAATAAAAAAAATTTAAGTGATATTATAAAATAGCGTAATAATACTGCTGGAAAGGATTAAAAATAGTTATTTTTTTATTATAATATCTATGTATAGATTCGAACTTCAATCCAGGAATATATATTATTTTATTAATAGATATAATATTTTATTGGATATTTTCAAAAACCGTTTCATATCCTAAGTTCAAAAAGAAATAGATAATGAGGAGTATTTTAATCATATAGTCCATATTTAAAGTTCTTTAGAAATAGCTAGGAGATATTTATTTAAATTTATTGAATTAATATATCCCTATTTATTTTGAGTTTATTTCTTCTATCATAATCAATAAAGGTGATGGCAAAAATATATCCTACGATAAATCGATATTTGCTATGCAAAACTGTATTTGAATTCATTTTTTACTTCTCATAAAATTCATGTTCTCATCAGGTTCTCTGTATCTGGTGATTTTCTTTGATATTACTATTAAGATTAAAAATTTTCATCATTAGATCTTTTAAATTAAAGGAATGGAGTTTAGGAAATCTTCGTAATTAACAAATTTTTATCCGAAAATCTACAACTTTGACAACTATAATATATCTAAATTTAATAAAAGCACTCACTTCTTATCTATTTAGAAATAAATTGATTTTAGAGGTGTGATCATGACACAATAGACTTCTAAAGCTAATGTAAAAAGTAATCCTCAAACGCTTAACGGATGTAGACATAAATAAAATCATTTCTAACAATTATAAAATGATTCTTAAACTCTATATAACTCATTATTATAATGATAAATCTTAATTCAGGGAGTTTAAATGCGTATGAAAATTGTACATTTGAGTTATGCAATTTAATTGGGTAAAGTGCCTTTAATTTTCATCAAAAAATATATTTTATTAAAACAGATACTGAAATAGTAATTTGGTAGTGTAGACTCTAAAATAGCTCTCATAGATAAATTCTTATAAAAATGCAGAATTCTAATTAATCCCTCTTAAAGTAGAGTAAATTATATTATCTCACTTACGTATATCTGTAGATTAGAATTAATAATTTATTTCCTTATAATTGAACGATAATATAAGTGTCATGAGATTTCTTGAATAATACAATTATTGGTTGAGAATATTATTTCTCTTATGCAACCCTAGCTATTATAATAAATGAATCAATTATTTTGTTTTTAAAATTTACACTATCATTATCATGCCTTAAGATTGTACAGCA